TCGTAACCTCTCTCTCCCCAGCCTACGAGGACAGACAGCAGTTAAAGCGACGGGAGATTGCTGCTCGCTCCTGGTTTCCATCCCCCGGGGGCGAATCCCCGGCCTCAAGTGCGCTGCGCAGACTGGGACTGGCTGGGAAAGCGGGAGCAGGCCGTGTGCCAGGCCCCTCGACAGCCTGTTCCCCCCTCAACCTGGTCCGCAAGAAGGCCGACACTGGCGGGACACAAATCTCCATCACACAGCGCAGGAATTCTGCCCCCGGGGGGCTCGATTCAAGTGTTGATCGGAGGAGAGAAGCGGGGGCCTCTTCAAGGAAACCAGAGCCAGAGGTGGTGGGTGTGAGCAGTGCAGAGCCTGTAGTGCGAGAGCAGGGGGCGCAGATACACAGCACTCACACAGACTCGGACCACACGACCTCTGCACCCACCACAGACGGCTACCAGGCAGCTGGAACACTAGGTACAGCAGGGGGTTGTGGGACAGTGGAGGAACAGGATGCCTGCTCTAAAACCCTGCAGGTCAGGTCTCTGGTGGCTGATTACAGTGACTCTGGTTCCGAATCTGAGCACTGAGGAGCTGCAGGAATCTCCCTCTCTCCTTTCATACTCTGCTCCCTCAGTAACACTCGTTTCAGCTCTGACCTACAAGCGATTCACAGTGGCTGGAGCTGGTGAACTGGGCTGAAGTGGACTGGTGGAAGCCCTACACCCTGACCAGACTGTGGGACCTGACCAGACTGTCCCTGACCCCTGGACTGTCCGGTCAGAGCAGAGGACAGCCGTGCTCCCTCCTGCTGCCTGACCCCTGGACTGTCCGGTCAGAGCAGAGGACAGCTGTGTCTCAAACTCACGGATTCTGTCCTGCACTGTCCATCTGGGTACCATGGTACATGACAAGAGCAGAGGGGAGCCCTGCCTGGGTGGGCGTGGTCTGTGTGTAAATGAAATCCAGTACAGACAAAATGTTGATGTTTTTCATTCCTTTTATTACAACAATTAAAAAGATATGCAAAATACAAACTTGGCCTCTTTTATTGTAAAAAATGACAGCGGGTTTAGCAGAGTTATTCCAGCAGTATCTGTTCGAAAGTGATGGTTTCAGGGCAGCGCCTGCACAAGGGGTTTGTCACATGACCTCTGGGACACAAGAGAGGTCACGAGACCTACAGTACACGTGCCAGAGGACAGTGACTGAATCCGCTTCTTGTACAGAGGCAGGGTGAACACCAGATGGCGCCAGTCCTCGCTTGTGTGGTTTGGTATAGGTGTGACATGCAAGTATGGCAGTCAGGTGGGAAGGTTTCTGGCACCCTGTCACAGGTAGACCCGGCGCAGGTCACTGGGGGAGGTTATTGTGTTGCATTGCGGACAGAGCTTCTTTGAACCCTAAAACAGGGAGGCAACTTGTCAAAATCACTTCACACAACAGAGTAATATGCTCTCCTCTGACTAAAGGATAGCAGGGACCTACAGGAGATTCGTTTCATAGCACAGTAGAACAGTCCCGTTACAATAGGAGCTACAGTTCCAGTGCAGTAGAACAGTCCCGTTACAATAGGAGCTACAGTTCCAGTGCAGTAGGACAGTCCTGTTACAATAGGAGCTACAGTGCCAGTGCAGTAGAACAGTCCTGTTACAATAGGGGCTACAGTCCCAGTGCAGTAGAACAGTCCTGTTACAATAGGGGCTACAGTCCCAGTGCAGTAGAACAGTCCTGTTACAATAGGAGCTACAGTCCCAGTACTTTAACACAGTGTTACAGCAGGTGGTTATTTATACAGTCCAGGTCCTCACCAGTGAGCGGAGCCAGCAGTCCTCACAGTGGATGTGCCAACATTGGATAGATGCCACTGGTACAGAGTAGGAGTCCTGGGAAGAGAGAAGTGTAGGATAAAGACAGTGTCAGCGATGTCAATGTTGTCAGCAGGGTGGTGAATCTGTGGCCTTCATTCAAACTCAAATTCAAAGATCTTTATTGGCAGCCCATCACACTGGTGCCAAAATAGTGACAATTACTAAATACTTAATAACATTATTATTAGAGAGGGTTGCTGTTCCTTGGGTTGTGACAGGAGATCACTGGGTGACAAGATCTGTTGTGTTTCCTCTCCCCCAAAAGATTGGAATTTGTCATCTGCACATGACGTGTTTTAACAGGACTGTCTGCATTGTCTGTTGGATATCTGTGTTTCGTGTAATCCTGTTCTGGGACTGGACACCACACTTCATTGCCACGTGGGCAAATATTCAATACTGACAGGCATTGATCCCTCTCAGCTCCAGGTCCAGCGCTGCCGGGTCAGAACTCTCAGAGGTGTGAGTGTAAGGAGTGCTGCTCTCACCAGGCAGACGTGACAGCGGTAGGTCTCTCTCTGCTGCAGTCGGGCCGTCAGCGCTGTGATGCGGGCTCGGAGCGGCTCTGCTGACTCCCTGACAGAGAGAGACAGGCTAATGCACACTGACCAGCCACAGACGAACACAGCTGCCAGGCTTACAGGAACTGAATTTAATAACTGGAATATGAGGAATAATACAAATCGATCTTCTTCCCAGTGTTCTAAATCATCAGTGAATGAGTCTAATTCCTGGCTCCTCGTCATCAAATTCCAGCCCATATTTACTCACCCTGTACAGCTAATGGCTGTATCTGCTTCACTCCTGCTATTGGACTCGGCTTCCTTCTCTCGCACTGGGAATCTGAGTGCGGAGTCAGGGAAAAGACTGAGCTTAGGTCTGGCTTCAGTGCTCCGCAGTCAGGGAAGCGATGTGAACTTGGGGAAGAGGACTGGGGTCAGAGCTCCGCAGTCAGGGAAGCGATGTGAACTTGGGGAAGAGGACTGGGGTCAGAGCTCCGGAGTCAGGGAAGCGATCTGAACTATGGGAAGAGGACTGGGGTCAGAGCTCCGCAGTCAGGGAAG